ATTATTATTATTATTATTATTATATTATTTGGTGTATGTCAATATAAATGGATCATATTTCACAGTAGGCTGTTTATGAAAAGACAATGAACAGCCTGGTTGTGTGTTGGGAAACAGATTTTTTCCTGTGTTCCTGAACGCAGCACAACTTCACAGGGAGGGACCGGAGCGCTCCTGTCCTCGCAGAATAAATTAGTTTAATTCAGACTTGTCCATGTAAACAACAAACAGTCTGCACAGAAATGACAACAATAATTAACCATGTGGTGACCATGACATAATTATCTCATGGCCACGGTATAATTTTTTTAAATTCTACGTCAATGGACGGGCTCCGTACTTTAAACATTATAATTATATTTTTAAAATCTGGATGTGGTATAAATATAAAAAACTCTGTTTAAGACTTGTTTTCTTTATTTTCTGTGGTTTGTTGAACTGACGTCAGCAGAACTGTCGACTGTGACTCATTATTTGTCTGTGATTTAGAGGAGTTATTATGCTGGTTTGAGGACTTTGGATCTGAGATTATCCTTCAGATTAATTCCTGCAGACACTTCCTGCATTTCAACCAGTCAGTGTGTTCATGACTCAGAGCTGGTCCAGGTTCTGGTTCTGGTCCTGGATGATATAATGAACTCACTGCAGGAGAGCGCCTGACTTTTTCTCAGTCTTTATTTTACTCAGTTTGTTTGTTTTGAGAGGAAATCAGTTTACAGCAGAAAGTCTGATCATTCTTGGATCATTTAGGGTCTTTTTAAGGACTGGTTCTGGTTCTGGTTCTATCTGGGCCGGTTAAATGCACCTGCCTGAGACCCAGAAACTCATCATCCTGAAACTAAACTCCTTTATTCTCTGTGTGGTTGTAAATCATCTCGTCTCACTCCGTCTGGATCAATAAGACAGCTTCCAGACTCTTTACTGACTTCAATTTTCACCGTTTATTTTTAATTTCCTGCAGGAGTTTCACACCACGGTTAGAAACTCACTCTAAAAGGTGTTAAACACAAATATCCTTCATCAGAAACRAAACTCTCTGGACTGGTTTCAACTTTATGGAATAAAATCTGATGGCCTGCTGCATCTTTAAGTATCTACAGTGGAGGTAGGACAGGTAACGTTGGATTTTCACAATAAAAGACGCAAAGCTCAGAAAACAATGAAAGTCACTGAGAGTT